TGATCGGAGCTGCCGTTTTTCTATAAATATAGATGGGCATGTGTGGAATGTTGGCTTTGTTGCTTTAAACGGATTGGTTGGCTATGTTGTCACATCTTGATTGGTTCATGGAATTGATGTTTGGTGAGGGCGATTGGTGATGGTGTCCTGTGTTTTTCTGGGTCCTGTGTAGGTTTTTGTGGCTGGGATTCATTTATTGACTAGGGCTAGTTTCTAGATGACTGGTAGGCGGGAGGAATCATCACGTTTATTTATGTTGTGGGGGTGTTTCTCTATTTCAATAGCTGTGACAACACAGCCAACCAATCCGTTTAAAGCAACAAAGCCTACATTCCACACACACACATGTATGTTTATGGAAAAATGGCAGCTCCAATCATGCTTTTCTCACACAAGCACGAAGCCAAGATGACAAGTGTGACCTCATTGAAACGATGCCAAAGTGTGACCTCATTGAAACGATGCTAAGATACTGTCAATTTTACACAGGAAAAGACCCGAATACGTCAAGACCTGCATACCTATACCCATGACAATCTACGAAAACAAATTGTGTGTGTGTGTGTGTGTGTGTGTGTGTGTTTCAGCAAGGTCTCACTTCCCATCCTCAAGCTGGTGTTTTCGACTTACACGGGAAAAGACCCGAATATGCCAAGACCAGCATATCTACACCTGTGAAAATCTACAAACACACACACACACACACACACACACACACACACACATGCATGCTGTGTGTGTATATATATTATATGTATGTATAATACATACATACATACATACATACATACATACATACATACATACATACAATTTTTCCCTCTTCACAATCTGTTTTCAAATGGAATAAATGAAGAACTCTTGGTTGTGCATTGATCATCAACCACAGTATATATACAGATAAAGGAAGGCATAAATAGACATTTTCTGGCTTTCTGGCTCACTGAGCATAGTGTGATCAAAGAATGGATGGACAAAAGGAGGTGGTGGGAATGAGTTTCACTGTAACTAGTAAAGTCACATTTTCTCCCCAGCTCTAGAATACTCACATTGCTAGAGAATTGTGGTTTTCTTCCAAGCCTTTCTGGCGAGATGGACCATTCTGATTTAAACAAAAAATAAAAGAAGAAAGTTAATCTATATCTAAGCCATGGTGTCAAAATGCTAAATAATATTTCCATTATGAATTGCACATTAAAAGTTTAATATAGAGATTCTCAAACTTTGCAGTACCAATTATAATGTACAACTTCCATTATAAATGAAACCAGTAATTTCACTGGTGTTAGGGAACTAATTATATCAGTAAAAGATGCATAACTTTCCTCATACATTATTGACTTCGATTTTATTAATACAGGTCACTTAGTGGGTCATCAAGTGGCCCAGTTTTATGACATTTTTTTTTTGCAGTGATCCTCAAGCGAATCACTTGGTCATTAAGCAAATTTATTGAATTTTAACAATTGAAGATCTATGATCTTTGGTCAGACAGAGCTGTTCATTCTTTAAGGCATCTTTAGAATGATCTGTAAACTTTGGAGTCTTTGTAAATGGTCCTTATAATAACAGCTGATTCTCATATATCTGATATTTATACTGTTTTTATTCTACATTTTTAAAGAAATTCATATATGTATTTGGCAATCCTAAAGGTTAGGAATATAACTAGATAAATAGTGTCTTAGTGAGGTTTTAAGAAAGGATTTTGTTCATCAACACTGCATGGCATCGAACTTTTGATTTCTCTGAAGTTTTTTTCATCAACTCAGGCAGTGGTATGTAACTCCAGCTGTGTATAGTGTTTATAATAGGAGTTTGGTAGGATTGCATTTTCAGTTTGTACATGTTGTTCTTCCCTTTGCCCACTCACCCAGATAAAACTAACTGTCCATTCTTTCTGCACTACATTTCTTACATAACTTGTAACTATTTGTGGATAACTGAATATAAGATTCATCATCTCATATGTAAGAGTTTAAGATATGAGGAAATAAGAAAAATAGGAAAGCAACCAGCCAGAAAAGAAAGTAGGAAAAAAAACATTAAAAGGGTAAACTGGAAGCATATCAACAATATACAGGAAGCTGCTGATCATTTAGATAGAAAAGAATATTCTTAATGTCTGTTATGATGAAGACTTTCCCACTAAACATTGGAATGGCTTCTTGAAGGTTAATATGGGGACAGTTAAATAACAGGAAAAAATATACTGCATGGCACCATGAATGTACTTGTTTTAAAGAGTACACGAGTAAGTTTTTTTTTTGTATTTAATTTACAAATAGGTAACCGACAGGCTTAGAAATCTTATTATACTGCAACTCCCATTGCCCATGTTGCTTGGAGTAATGAGAGTTGGAATCTAACAACAGCTACAGCTACAGCTAACTGATTTTCTCTGATCTAAATAAAAATAAAATTAGGAACGACATTAATGCAAGGAGTACTAGATCCTAATCGCTTTAAAAATAGAGAACTCTAGCATGGCTTCTGGAAAGTAATGGATTAGAAATTGTTGAGAATATTCATAGCTTAGGTTGTAGGTTTTGACAGTTTTGGTTTGCCGAGCTTTCTGTTTAGCTCCCAGGCATTTCATTATCAAACTAGGTGATATTTTCAGCAGGGTTTTGGGTGATGAATTGGAAGTATGGGCCTCCCGATTTATAAATTATATTCTAAAGCAGATCTCAATAAGAACCTAAAATATGACCATTATTCTAGACCATTTGAACTAAGCCGTAGCTTAACATAGAATTAAAGAAATATTCTGTATAGCACCAGCTTCAATTCAGACTCAATTAGAGGATCAGTTTGCAAGATGTTCCTGAATATTTTCTTCCCTTTTTTTTTGTCCCCTCCTCATTCCCATTCTTTTTTAGCTACCTAAATGATTTGGACAGAATATCGCAGCAGAGCTACATTCCAACCCAACAAGATGTTCTACGAACCAGAGTGAAAACAACAGGCATTGTAGAAACACATTTCACCTTCAAGGACTTGTACTTCAAGTAAGCAGCATTAAGAGTTGCAGGCTACCATGTTATGTATACTCTTAAACCATAATTTCTTGGTGTAAAATGTATGGCTCTTCTGCACTTGTGGTACAATTTTTGACTTTGGTTCACATGATGTAGTATCTTTCCAATTCTTTTGCTAGTGATTCTTGATACAGTCCACTTTTTTATTTTCATTGTTTCATTCTTTTCAGCTGCTTTTATGTTGGGATCACAAACACAGGTACTGAATCCTTGCTTTACAGGAGCATGTATACTAATGGTATACTGGCTTCTGTTTTATATTGTTGATTGGAAGTGTAAAATATAAAAGCCCCACATAGAGACTTTATAATTTGCCATGCATTTATTTTCTGGTGTTGCAGTGGGAGTTGAAATTAACATGGCTCTCTGAACAATGCATGGCTTTCTCAGCAAAACAATAGACATAGCATTAACCAGTCAATAGTACAGAACATTGGCAAGGAGCATGCATAATTGTTTAAATGCTTATCATTAATAGTGCTTGATGTAGAATGGGGCTGTGTTATTTTCCACTGTGATACACCTAATTATGTCATGACTGGATGACATATTAACCATTTACCTCCATGTAGTTTGCCACCTCGTCTCCTGATTGATCCCTCTAGGACTTGTGATGTTCTCTTTTCAAACATCTTGGCTCTGCTACTACTGTATCTGATTTGTAAATTACAGCAAAATGCAGAATGAATGAGAACAAAAAAAAAAAATTCAGATTGTTCGTGGTGCACAATGCCTTCATGTTTCATGGTGGGATAAGAAACCTTTGCTTTCACAGTTCATGGAGCTCCAAAGTGTTATATAGTCTATGAATCAAATAATGAAACTGTAGAGCACACTCACCTGTTAGGGTACACTCTTCCCAGTGTTATTTAGTTAGACCTAGGTAGTATTTCTTTGACTGAATTTTCCACAGTCATCTTTTCATGCCAGCTTTAGGTTCTATTGAAGCCAAAGAGTTCTCCAGCATTCACCACACTTATCTTACTGATTATAATTTTAAAGCTGTAATAAAATCTAAAAGTAAATCTGAATAAATTGCGATTGGGAAAGATAGGTTTTGGGCTTGAAATGATATAGGAAGTTTTTGACTTATAACCAGTTATTTAATGACTCTTTGAATTATGGCAGCACTGAAAAAAATGATTTATTATCACATGACCATTGCAACATCCCCACGGTTATGTGATCAAAATTTTGTTGCTTGGCAACTGGCACTATTTACAATGGTTCCAATGTCTCAGTTCCCGTGATTTCCATTGATGACCTTCCCAGGGGGCTTCTGACAAGCCAAGTCAATGGAAGAAGCTGGGTTCACATAATAACTGCATGCTCCCACTTAACCGTGGTGATTCATTTAACAAAAGTGGCAAAAAAATAGTTGTAAAAAGGGGCTTGACTCAGTTAACAACTGCATCACATTCTGGTGCCAGATGTGATCGTAAGTCAATGACTCGTAAGTCAAATCAGTTGTGGAAAAATCACTGTTGGCTGAGCCTTTGATACCCTTGTACCCCTTGTGTATAATGAAATAATAATCTTGCATCAAAGATGAACAAGACAGAGTTTATGTAATATATGTACTGGAAACAACATAAATGCAGCATAATTGTGTACTGCATAATCTTTTCAGCCTGTCCCACTGAAAAAGCACCAATGCTCTTCTTCCATTACCCTTAGTTTTTCCCCTTATCTTTTTAATGAGGGGCAAGTTCTTTTGGCATAATCTATCTCAGGCTTTTTCATTGGAGGCCTAGATATTTCACAGTGTCCAGCTCTGCAATGTCAAATGGTAAAGAAATGCCGGTCAATATTGTTTCTTCACTTCCAGCTGTTTGCTGGTTCTTCCCTGAGCACTTGGAACAAAAGCCTGAACTATTTTATTTGTGTAATATATCTTGTTTATGAGAAGACCTCAAAATGTTACAAAAGTTTTGAGCCTAGAGCAAAGAGGGCTAAAAGGGGTACGGTTTGTATCAGAGCTTTTTAGAATGATATCATTATGTTATTTCCTTCATCCTATTTTTATATCATAGCCCCCCTCCTTTATAGCACTTAATGAAAAATAATGATTTAGCACTTGATGATTAATCTCAGCCTTGGGTGGGTTGTTTTTGTTGTTGTTGTTGGGTTTTTTTTGCTAGTTGCCCCAAGCATATAACTCTGGATAGTCTACTGCAAAGTATAAACAAAGCAAAAATAGCATCAAAATAACCAGTGCTACATAAAGTAATGTGTACAAACAGATTTGAACATAAGCTATTAATAGCTTTTTATAATTTTTGTGATAAACTAATATTACAGCAGTGGCTGTTTTAATGAACTGTAGCGTTTAGATCGCAGGGCTGGCAAAGTCATTTACAGCTTATTAAAGAGCCCCTGTTGTGCATGTGTGTGATAACTAAACAGATGGATTTAGTTTTCGTTTTGCTAAAATGAATCTTCAAGTCCTTATTTTTCTGCCAGGATGTTTGACGTTGGTGGTCAGCGTTCAGAACGTAAGAAATGGATCCATTGCTTTGAAGGAGTCACAGCAATTATATTCTGCGTAGCTCTCAGCGATTATGACCTTGTCCTTGCTGAGGATGAAGAAATGGTATGTTGCTGTATAGTTAACATTCTAAATAATATGGACTGCGACAGAAATTCACCTTAAACTTGGCATAATATAATTTAATCAAATGTTTTGTTATTGTTATTCCTTGAACATTACAAAGGATAATATTTCAATAGAGATTAGGGGCAAGCTTTTCTTGTCTGCATTCTCACAATTTGTGTAGTGAATGTATTTGAAGTTGGGAGATTATGGAGAGTAAAACTCTTCTTCATAATTGAGTGTGAATATTTAAATTTGCATATATGATTTGAGATGGAGAAAATGGTTTCTGACATAAAACTGCAAAAAAAGTGATATTTCAGAAGCTTTTTGTAACATTTACAAAAATGCACAGATAATTTAGCACGTTTGACAGGATGTTTGCACTTTTAATGTTGGGATTATTTTTTGACAAACTTTGCACTAGTAATTTGGTTGGGGTTGTTAATTATATGAAGTGTCAGTGCTGTCTTTCATTAGTGTTTTTTTAAATTCAGAATCGAATGCATGAGAGCATGAAACTCTTCGACAGCATTTGTAACAACAAATGGTTCACTGATACATCGATCATTCTTTTCCTGAACAAGAAAGATTTGTTTGAGGAAAAGATACGGAGGAGTCCACTAACAATTTGCTATCCGGAGTATCCAGGTGAGATTTTTCTTAAGGCAAAACAGAAGGTCACAACAGGTGTGTGTGTATTATAGTAATTTCATTAAAAATTGTAATTAAATGAATAAAAATTGTTATAAATTAAAAGATGAAAGAATAGAAAGAATAAAAGATATGTGAAGGAAAAAAGAAAGAAAAGTAAGAAGACTGGTAGTTCTTGACTTACAACCATTCATTTAACAATGTTTCAGGGTTGCAACAGCACTGAAAAAAAGCTATTTTTGGGGAGGGAACTTTTGGAAAGTCATTGAAAGTGGTGAAAGACTACCATATTAATCATGATGATGCATTTCTCTGAATATCAGCTTTGGGAAATAACAACAGCAGAGTTAGTCCTTGTGCATCTTACTTTCGAGAATAAAGTGGTTGGAAACTGTGGGAAGTAAAGTGATGGACTAGATAAGATTTTGATGTAATTCATTAGAGCTGTTCTTACATTCGGTATCATTTTTCTAGGTTCTAATACTTATGAAGAAGCCGCTGCATACATTCAGTGCCAGTTTGAAGATCTGAACCGAAGAAAAGACACCAAGGAAATTTATACTCATTTCACCTGTGCCACCGACACCAAGAATGTGCAGTTTGTGTTTGATGCTGTTACAGATGTTATAATTAAAAACAATCTGAAGGAATGTGGACTTTACTAAAAGGAAAGAAACAGAGAAAGGTAAATTGTGAACTGTAGCGTTGCAGAAATATGTGCCAGGCTCTCATATGAACTTGTGCTAATTTTTGAATTTTCTTTCTTTAGATTTCGGGATGTGGACTGTTTCTTTGCTGCCTTGTGAGACAGCTGCAAGCATGAACAGGACTGGAAAATGAAAACAGCATGCAAAACCTTTGCATTCTTTAGCACAATCTTCTATATTAGGGATATTTTACTGATATGGATGCTGAAGTTAGATTCCAAAAATGGAACTATTGTTAAGTGTGATTTTTTTTATCATCCAGGCATCACTTGGATTGCATAATTTGAAATATGTACAGCTGTTATGAAGTTTTCATCCCAGAACTTCAATATGTAGCTTTCTTTAATAAGTCATCATTGCTCTATTTTTAAAGTTTTTCCATCAAACTATATATTGATTAAATTTTATTTTCTTCGCAATGAATCTTACATTTTAAACGCAAACAAAAAAAAACACTTAACTATGCACATAATGTGACCAGATCATGCAGAAAGTATTCCTCTTAGCAGGAACCTTTTTGTTTTTAAAACTTGGTATGGTCAGAACTTGCTAGTATTGCAACTACTTTAAAAGGGCCTTAGAATTCTTATGGTTAAAGCTGTGGCTTTCTTCTAATATATACTATGTCAACATTCTGCTACATATACTGCAAGGCTTTCCCCTTCCTTAAAGATAAGAGTTCCTGTAGCAGGTTTAACAAATTATGTGTGGCTTATAGGTTGGGAGGGTTTAGCCTGGTTAATGCTGAGTACCAATTTGCTGAATATGCAGCTGGTATAGCAAGTAAAAATCAGATTCTTATATAGAAATTTCTGAAGTGAGTACCAGTTAGCAAAGTGATTTATAAAATTCCAAGCTGGAGATGTGGAGAGGAGAGTATACGCTGCTACAGGGCTATTGTATCAACCACTTAATTGTTGTGTATGTGTTTGGTTTTAAAGCAGTGGGGAGTTTTGTAGACAGTGGAATTTGTTCTGCATTTACCAGGGCCTTTTATCCTTAAGAGATTTTGGAAATGTACCAACAGCATGTAAATGTGGTGCCAAGTTCCTGTTTGCCATTGTTTTTCTTGTAATGAAAATTAAGCAGGGTAAGGGCATTTCTATGCTTAACCATTACACTAAGACTCTTTCCCAATTTTCATGTACAGTTTCAACCTGATGATGTAGTTATTGGCAATATTAAAATGGTGAGTTAAAAAACTTTAAAAGTTCCTAACTTTATTGGTGCCATTTCTACAAATCTTTGTTAGTTTCTTACTTGCATTTCTGACTTTTGCAAATAAAAATGTTAGTTAGTCTGATTAATTAATTGCCATTGCTAAACTTTTATATAAATAACGTAGGGTTATATTTTATCAAACGTTCATTGGACTGCACCAAATACTCAGGTAGACCTTCCCTCACTGAACAGATCTTTCTTTCTTTTTTCCTTCTTTCTTTCTCCCTCCCTCCCTCCCCTCTCTCTTTTCTTCTTTTCCTTCCTTCCTTCCTTTTTTTTGACTGTGCAGTCTGTGTGTTCCCTAAGAAGAGAGTTATGGTATCGCAAAACAATGGGGCAAATCCAGTTACTAGTAAAATTGATATTGCTGGCTGGACAGGACCAATTTAATACCATTTTATTGGTACTAATAATCTTTACAAAGAGTAATAATAACATCTGAGAATGGTGGCAAGTCAATTTTCAGTTTTTACCATTTGTCGCATCAATAAGGTATTACAATGGCTACTTTAAAATGATACATTGTGACTGTTTATTTATATCCTGCTTTATTATTTTGGTAAATAACTCAAGGCAATAAATATAACTAATATCCTTTCTCCTCCTATTCCCCCCATAATAACAACCCTGTGAAGTGGATTGGGCTGAAAGTGAGTGACTGGCCCAAAGTCACCCTGTTGGCTTTCTTGCCTAAGGCATGGCTAGAACTGTCTCCCAGTTTCCCATCCTACACCAAACCAGGTCTCTTGCTACTATTAAAAGTATTTTAGCAAAAGACGTGATAATGTTTTACTCATAAATAAGATGCTATAAATAAATACCTTACTAGGTTTCTGAGTGTACAAGTGGGAGAACACGCTTCATAAATGCATGAATCTAATAAATCAATCATCTAAGGTGACCTGTACATTTTTAAAAAAATAATGAGAGCATATTACAGGTTACTTAATTAGTTTAAGACCGATTTCATACAAGCATGAACATGTATTCAAATCTTGGGAATATATTGTATAAATTAATAATGTATTGAGCCACCACTTCAGTTCCTGTAAACGGTATATAAATCACAGCAGATATTTTTCAAAAGAAAATGTGAAGAGGAATGTTTATGGCAAGAAGGAATGTGAAGAGGAATGGAAGAAATTACTTTTCAACTATGCACCCATACTTTTTAATGCAAATTTATTTTTTATCTCTTACATTTATTTGAAGCTGCATGAGCAATTATTTGCAGTGCATCTTAACACAAGTGGTACCTTGTCTAACAATACAACTTGTTTACAAATGTTGAGAAACAATACAGCTCTAAAGAGGATGAAACACCTGATACAACTGTTTTATTTTTGTATCCCTCTGTTCCCTATGCGGGTGTTGAGAAGTTATCTGCTCCTGTGATATCAGTGGGTTGAAGCTGTATATGTGTATGTTCATTACCACAGGATTAGGAAGACAGATAGACAAGATGTATTCACAGCAGGTATTAAAACACTGCTGTATTCTATGAGCATGGGGGAACAGACCCATTCTAGGTTCACTGAATTAAACACTAGAAAACTTTTTTTTAAGACACTGGGTTCTAATTGCACCTGTTTCAGACAACTGCAAATACATTGTGTGTTTGATCTATCTTTAAAAGATTTAAATTTTGAAAATGCCTCATTTCTATATACAATGTACAGTTTTTAGACTTGGACATTCACACCATTGTTTTTAAAATGAACAGTTCTGTTAAATAAGACCCCAAAACACTGATTGTGTTTTTCCTGTGAAAGAATTATGTCTTATTTATAAATAGTTAAAATGCAGAGAATCAGTGTTTGACATAAATTCATTGTTTGTAAACCAGTTTGACTTCATTGTTGCCCGTATGTAACACTTTCCACTTTCATAGATTGGAGACTCTTAACTTTTTTGATGGCGTGTTCTTGTTAGAATTGTTTGTCTTGGGTGGGAACTGTTATCTTGTTAGAATTGTTTATCTTCTATGGAGAAGTATAGATTCCCGAATGACTGCTGGTTCCGTTGGCTCTGCTCAGCAGAATGGTGAAGCTCACTGGAAGCCCTCATTCCTGATAGATGAAGATGAGATATTTTAAATAATGAAATCAAATTACATTTGAACTACAAGTTGTCAAAAGAATGTCAAAGATGTAGATATATGTTTTATGTACATACATATATGCATGCATGCCTTACGTATATACATATATACATGCATGCATGCATGCATGCATACCTTATGTATATACATACATATATACATATATACATACGTATATACATACCTGCATGCATACCTTCAAATGTTTTTCAGCTTAAACCCTAACCTACTAATTGTGTTCAGTGGTCATGGCATGTGAAGTCTGCCAATATCTACAGATTCTGCAGATGTTTTGGAAATAATTGCATCCTTATACATTTAATACCATGTAAGCACTTGAAAAAGCTTAAATAGAATTGTACATGGCTAATTCTTGGCTGGGGTGGCTACTAGGAAATCCCAGGTATATTGGAAAAAAAAACACATCCTGAAATAAGACAAGGGCCAACCACTTCCTCCTTTTCAATCCTGCTTTCTCCCCCCCCCCATGGATGTGACCATGTAGTCACTATAAGTTTATTCAAGAGAGACTATTTACTTTTAAAAACTCCCAAGTCCTGTACTGAGCACCAACTTTGATTTTGCTTATAGTAATGCATGAGGTTGTTTCAAAATCACCTGTGATTTTCTTAAAATTCCTCTTCTGTTGCATTAGTATCTTCAAACCTGTTTTAGAAATAATTGCTAAGCAAAGAATTTGGCAATGGTGATATAATAATTATCGCAAATTATTGTAGCAAAAGAACTGAAATAGCAGAGTACTTGCATAGTTTTAATGCAAGCATCCTGTTGCAATTTAACTGCTACTTCCTATTACATATGTAGCCCAGCTGACTTGGCTACTGTTTGCATTTAGTTATTATGCACATTTGACTTTAAGCACTAATGTTCAGAAGTAAGTATAGTTACAAGCATAGGTAAGGAAATGCTACAGTATACTTGCTGCCTAATTCCTACTTGAGGAACAGATAATTGAATATAATTACCTTTTCTTTAAAAAAGCTGTAATCTTAGAAGAGACCACAGTCCTTTAGGTTCTCTTTGATGATTACATCTGTTACTGCATCAAATACAAATTTGACGTTCTGTGTATCTGTGGCACAAGTCATGTGGCTATAAATTTCTTTTGCATCTTTTCTCATGTTTAGATCAAGAAACTGAAGCTTGATGTAATTGCCTGCATCTTCAAATGTATTGGGGCCTGTTGGGAAAAAGAAACAGGAAAATATAAACTAAACAAGTGCTAAAAAGTATCACTTAGTGTTTGGATCCCAAGTTACTCATTTACAAGAAGAGCCTTAGATCTAACATTTTCTCCTGGTGGAAATGACAAAGAAGTGGTATGTTGCCTTGAGTTCCCGAAGGAAATGTAACATGTAAATATAACAATTTGCCTATATTGTTCCCAACCTTTGATTAGTTATTGAAGGGGCAGGTAAAATCACTAATAGATTTCTTGCACCAATGGAAATATCCCACACATCTTTCAGTCCAGGTATATGCATTTCCATCTGCATCTCAGAATATGATTTGTTAATGTGATATTAGGATTACATTACTTTGGTGTGTCGACCAACAACTTATTTTATTACCAGAACTGTTCTAATCAGTTCTTAAGCAGAAAGAACCCAATAAAGTGCTCGTTCCCAGGTTCTTTCATATGAATGTTATTCAGCATAGAAAGTAATGAAACATGTACATTGAGATGGGTAGTTCTCTTTGACAAGCCTTTAGAATGTAAGTGTAGTCACTTTTAAAGCTTAAATTTCTTAAGTGTAATACCTTCTATATTGTGTTATATTATAGAACAATTTTAAATCAATTAAATAAGCTGTATGGGAATTTCTTATTGCATGGATGCGTTTCAATAGTAAATTAAATTCAAACCTAGCACTTTGTTCATGAATGTATAAAATATCATTTACTTATTACGAAATTTATTTGCCGCCCATCTCATATTCAACAACTCTGGGCATTAATTATGTTCTTAACAGGTTTTCTTCAATCTGATCCTCACCAAATGTATTGAGCTGCTGTAATTTCAAGCCAGCGAAACTGCTGGACATGATGTTTGGGAATATTGATAATTAATCCATTCCATGTGTGGAAGTTACTTAGTTGGGGAAACTGTCCCAGTCAACTGTACACTGGGGTAAGAGAAAAGCCTTTTTCTCATTTAGCTCTTTTAGCAAATTACCTTATTTTTCAGAATATACGATGCACCTTTTTCTCTCCCAAAAGACGGTGAAAATCTCGGTGTGTCTTATACACTGAATACAGCATTTTTGGCCTCCTGAAACGCTGCCCCCTTCACAAAAATGGACATGCATAGGCTTTGGGAGGCCTGTAAAGTGCTCCTGGGGGCTGGGGAGGAAAAAAACAAGCAAAAAGGGCCATCCCCCCCCCCATTCCCCAGGAGCACTCTGCAAGCCTCCAAAAGCATATGCATGCCCTTTTTGTGTGTGAAAAACAGGTTATTTTTTGCTCATTTCACACAAAAAAGGCATACAGAGGATTTGGGAGGCCTACAGAGTGCAAAAACTTTTTTAATTATTTACCTCTTCAAAATTTTGGCGCATCTTATACTCCAGTGCATCTTACAGTCCGAAAAGTACAGTATTTTGGCTTTCATGAAAATGAGGGAAATGTTCTAACTTACCATCATAGTCAGGGAAGCAAATGCTGAGATGTACTTTCTTGATTTTTTCCTCAAAGAGGTCCTTCTTATTCAAGAAAAGAATTATAGAAGTGGCAGCAAAGAACTTGTGATTACATATACTGTTGAAGAGATGCAAAGATTCATGCATGCGGTTCTAAAGAGAAGAACTTTAAAAAGTTAAGTTTAAAATGAACTGGTACCCGAGGCTACCTAATATTTTATTAAATAGACTGTTAAGTTAAGCAAAAATAAACATTTCAATAAATATGTAAAATAAATGGCATGCAATCGACGGTGATGGGAAGCAGTGATTGCATTAAAAGTCAAATTCCTAGAGATGGTTTCTTAAGAGCTGTGTAGTTTGTGTTTAGAATATTAACATCTCACATTGAAAAATGCAAAAAACTACCAAGAAATAAACAGCATCATATATAATTGCTAACATTAAAACAACATTTCAGACAATTTGCAAGAAGTGGGTTAGATCCAGACAAAACAAGTGTGTTGGATCTCAAGGGAGTAGCCCCTGCCTTTCCCTTTGCTGTATCCCCACCCCCACCCCCAGTGCACTTTGGTTTTGGATTACAAAATAATATTGATATCGCAAAATTGGTTTTAGATCTTCTTAGCAACCTGGTGCATCTTATCACAGTTTTTATAATGCTAGCTGGAAGATAAAAATGAGCTGTTGCTTTGTCACTCCTAATTCTAATGCAGGAAGGGAAATGCTCCATCCTAATCTCAAAGGCTAAGCAACTTTTTAGAAGTTTAGAAAACACTGAGATGAAGAGATCATGCCAGCTTAAATTGGCTCTGTGAGGCACATCCACAAATGTTTGTTCCAATGTTTGTTCCAAATAACAAAGGGAATACTTGGTTTAGAGTCTAGATCATCATCTAGTCCATCAATATTTTTAAATGACAAAGACTTTCTGAAACTGGACAAAAATTGATCCCTGCAGCAACTCCTTAAGCAAAACTAGGAATTGAATTCTTATTCCAGATTATTTGGTTACTTGATCTTGAATGAGAACAGCACAATTAAAAAAAAACCCACTTCACTGGCTACCTTTAAACTTCCTTTAATTTTCCCTTCTCTAGTTGTAATCAGGTAATTATAAAACTCTGGCATTCTTTATGAGCGTGGAGTAGAAAAGATGACTGAACTAAGTTTGTCTTTATGGGCCTGATGAATTTCAGAGCAGAACCATGTTTGCAACTGTTGTCATACATTATGAGCTAACAAACATACCATATCATCGTCTTCTACCAAGACCATGTCATAGGCACTAAGAGCGCCACAGAAGATGATGCAGGTCACCCCTTCAAAGCAGTGGATCCACTTTTTACGCTCTGATCTCTGCCCACCTACATCAAACATTCTGGAGAAAGAAGAAACATGCATGTGACAACGATGTCGGAACATTTGAAACCAGGGAAAAACCTTCCCAAAGCAATGTAGTTTCAATGGACAGATGTTTAGAACTTTAGAGCGATGCACATTTGCAGTCTATCACATTGATTAAAGATGCATGTGGCATGTGGCAAAAATAGTTGCATGCCTTCAGCCTCCCACAATTTGCACATGTGTAGGCTGGCTTTCAACTCATAGTTTCCAAAATTCCTGGACCTTGGAGATTATGAGACTGAACTGGAAATCATCCAGAAGACACAAATTTGGGGAAATCTATAATTCAGAAAAGTACTTCCCATTTTTCAGTCAAATATTTAACAAAAAACCCTGAAACAATACATATCAAAGTAGAAATAGAAACATCTTGAAAAGTTAAGTTTTTTCTAGGGGCACAAAGAGGCATGGTATTAATGTTATTCCTAAGCATGCCCTGTTGCTAATGATCTGCTTTACACATTAGGTATAAAAAGTCTGGGAAAAAGACTTGTGGATGCTGAAATGCCCTGAGCATACAAGAAGAGGAAAGGTGAAATAGGATTTATACATTCTGAAAGTTGATTGGCGAAAACGGAAAGAAAAGCTACCATTTTAGAGCAAGGAAAATATTGAGAGATTTTGCTCACCTGAAATTAAGATCCTTGACAGAAAACTTTGTCTCTATGATACCTGTGGTCTTAACTCGGGATCGCAATACATCCTGTTCATTGGGAAGATAGCCAGGAGCAGTGATCCTGTCCAGCTGATTAAGATAGCTACAGAAGAATGAGATGCAATATAATTTCGTAGCATGGCATAGGATTATATAATAGCATGTGTTATATGCCATCTGTATTTTAATTTGATAGAACTATGCAAAGTTTCCTAAAGCTTTAATAGCCTGAGAAAGATTTTGAACTCGTATATCTTCCAGAAATATCAAACTTAATTTATTGTTGTTAGTCGTGTCCGACCTATTGTGACCCCATGGACAACTGTTCCTCCAGGCCTTCCTATCCTCTACCATCCCCTGGAGTACAATAAAGCTCACACCAACTACTTCAGTGACTCCATCCAGCCAATTCATTCTTTGTCGTCCCCTTCTTCTTTTGCCCTCAATCTTTCCCAGCATTAGACTCTTCTCCAGTGATACCTTCTTTCTCATTAAGTGACCAAAGTATTTGAGTTTCATCTTCAGGATCTGGCCTTCTAAAGAGCAGTCAGGGTTGATCTCAGGTAGGACTGACTGTTTTGATCACCTTGCAGTCCAAGGGACTCACAGGAGTCTTCTCCAGCACCATAGTTCAAAGGCTTCACTTCTTTGGCGCTCAGCCTTTCAGCTGTAAACTGAAGTTACTACGATTTAATCTCAACATATTCTGCTTTCCTTTGTATACCGTTAAAGAAAATGTACTATAAGCATTGGTTAACACCTGGCTAATGTAGCAAGGGCAGAAATGGCAAACATCTGCTGTTTGAGGTTTTGTTAAGATTGCATAGCAATGGCAAGTTATTGTTAATGCTAACAGATTTTTTTATCATTTATTTTCCTATGTATTGTTTTATCTAATATATTTGACTATATTTACCCTTATAGTTGCACCAACATTTTGTAAATGCAGCCCTTGTCAATCCAGTGCCTTCTAAATGTATTAATGATAAAGCTTGTTGTCATATAGGAACTATAGTCCATTACATATGAAAGGTATTAGCTTAGGAATGAAGCCTGAAAGGATTTAGTAGACTTCTGATGCAAAATGTTAATTGGGAAAAAGAGACTCAACTTTTAGTCAGCCAGTCCAGTAGGAGTTTGGAGGTGTATACAACCCATATTATATTTATATATTGTAGCAATATTTGCGCCCAAAATGCTAAATTCCCCTTTGAAATTGAACTGAATATTAGTACAGAATTATGCAAGTAAATAGTTTGAATCATGTTTGATCAATCAGGTAAGTGTAATATTGCAGATATGTATACCCAAAACCAAGTGCACAATGAAATTCAGTGGCTGATGTAGTCAGGAGTTGCAATCACTGACACTGTTAACTGAGATTGTTAAAGAAGATTATCATATCATGGAAAAGTAGCAGGCTTCCTTACAGTACATGTTTCCTTCTTCTAAATCAGATATGAGTAATAAGGAGTCCTTGGGCTATGGGATAATTTATTCAAAATGTTCACTAACTTCATTCAAGATACTATTAACTGGTTGTCTCCTCCCTGAATTCTCTCCTACCTTGCAAATTATTAGTTAGGTAACTGACTTCAAAATAATGACACTCCAATAATTGAAAACTGAAAGTAAATCTAAGAAAACATTTTCTCCTTTATCTTAATCAACTATTCCTTGAGAAATCAAAATACAGATCTTCAGAAGAGGATTTAGAAAGCCATGCAAGTTCTGATCAGTGTTGGGGATCCTGCTGGAACCAGTAGTAGATTCTCTCTGTACTCACTGCGAAGGCCTTTTCCTGAAAGCACACATAACACGCTTTCAAAAGTACAAAATCTGCCACTAGTGCAAAAGCAGTTTAGGACTATAATAAGTTGACTAATGAGGATAGAGGATGTCGGAATAAATATGATCAACCTTATCCATCTTATCAGGGAGTGTGTAGTTACTACTATTTATATTTTACTTTCTACAGTATTATAAATTGAAAACAATTAGTAAACTATAGCATACACAATAGATTAAACAGAATAAAATAGAACATTCATTTAAAAACATGACAGAGTAAAGGAAAATAAATAAAAGCCAAACACAACATTCACAGAAAGACTGGGTATATAGAGCAGGGAAAAGTTGGTATATCAATCAATCTGCTAACAGATGTTTTTTGCTTGAGATCCACAAGCAATCACGTGTGGATCCCATGGCAATAATGACTCCAGGAAACCCCAAAACTATACAGCTATAATCACAAGTGATAAGACTCCCTAATTCTTCAGGGTTCAACCCTCTTGATCCTCATCCATAGCATCCATTTTTCCAGAACAAATACCACATCTCTTGACTCAGGTATAATAGTAGAACATTAACATGATCAGCAAAACTTGCTAATTGGGATTAGAGTAAATCTTGCTATTATGCCACAAAAAAGCTGTCCAGAAACTGAGACACACTCTAGGACCATCCCTATAAATAGGAGTGGAATTGCTTTACCACAGTATATTGTTTCTGCCCCCAACTCTTCTCCTGCCAAACTTATGGAAGATGGCTCAGGAGGATATGGGGACTGACAGCATAAAAAATGCTGTCAACCAAATTCAACAGAGTTCTGTCTCTAAATCAGGTTAGACTGAAAAGGTTCTTTTTGTGGGGGGGGGATGTCTTTGAGTCACTATGGACTCCTGGCTACTGCCTGGACAAGTTTTTCAGTATTCTTGGCAGGATTTAAGAAATACATATACATATGTCTGCTTTAAAGAGACACTGATCTAATTTTCCACATGTTCTGAGCCACTTCTCCAAATCATTTTTGGAGCATGCACGAGACAACAATCTATGCAAGGAGAAATTCCTTTTATCAAGTTGCATATTATTGAGTTGCAATCTCATTATAACAAAAGGGTTGTGAGAATGTGATTGCACCAATACCATATGCTGATATGTTATTTGTGCAATCTGATGATCACAATCCTTTGAGGGGGCTTAATTGACTTCCCAATAAGGTAATCTTTCACAGATGCAATAGTCGGCTCAGACTTACTATGAAGCAGAATCATTGAGCTGATATTCAGCTGCTCGGTCAAAGCAGGCTTGAACTCCTCCATCAGCCCATAGTTTCTTTATACAAGTCGTCAATTCTGGGGGCATGGTACCCTCTTCAATCGAATCGGCCAAACTGTACAGCTGCCGTTGCTCATCCTATTGAAAACACAGTCCATAAGCTTTCCTTGGGGGCTGGATATGGAATTCAAGGCTCAATATTCATCTTCATGTTGTTATGAGGGCACCATGGTCCATGGTTTTCACTTGTGAAGTTCTAGCTTGCAGAGACAGGCTTTACATGACCATTGAATAATTGGATTGGTTTGGACTAGAAGACCTCTAAGGTCCCTTCCAACTCTGTTATTCTATTGTATTCTCAAATTATGGTCCTTTGCTACAGTATTTGAATCAGGTTTTTCTAGGTCTGAATACTAGGTGACTGAATGCATGAAACTAGAAAACACCAATGCAAAGAAGTAGAAAGAAGGAAGAACAGTGAGCCCAGTGGTACAGCGATTAAAATGCACTATTGCAGGCTGTTAACTCTACCCACTACCTGGAATTTGATCCGGGTGGGACTCAAGGTTGACTCAACCTTCCATCCTTGCAAGGTTGGTAAAATGAGGACCCAGATTGTTGTTGACATTTTAAATCACCCAGAGAATGCTGTAAAGCACAATGGGGTGGTATATACAATAAGTCTAAGTGCTATTACTATTTGTATTGGCAGAAAAAAAAATAGAAGAAAGTAATACATCCAGCTCCAAATGATGATATATGAGCTTTTTTCATCATGGGAGAACTTTGGTTGGTCCTGGCTTGTCCACCAAAAGTATTTCCCCTAATGAAGTGCTATTGTGTATTGCTATTCTGGCACAACTGGGTAGTGTTTCTTCCAAAGTGGCATTTTTTTCAGTACTATGTAGTTGATTAGTTGATGTCCTATACATTTTCAGCCGTATCTTCCCCCTTTTTTTCTTTTTTTAAAGCACATTACTTCTGTTATGAATTGTAAGAAGTAAGACTGCTTTGAGAATAACTCCGATCAGTGCTGTATAATTGTTCTATGAATCAGCTCTTGCACATTGATGGATAGGAAACAAATAATGCTCTCCAACATTTTTCACCAGGTGGCGCTATTTAGTTTGTGTAGCCAAAAGAGTGACCAGCTGTGTTTGTACAACACCCTTACCTATGGTTACTGAATCATGGTTTAAACAGTCCATCAAATGTATGGAGTTGTTTGGAACACTGAACCATGAGCAAACCACACTGTCTAAGTTCATATTAGTCTACACAGTTCATACTACACTATATTAAAATGCAGTGTTCATTTTGCTTATGGTATGTTCCAGGCTAAGAGATTTTGTGTGGCATAAACTTTTGAGTACTGGTTGTATTGGTACCAAAATGCAGTTTTGAGTGTGGTTGTTTTCCACAAACCACCTGTACTTGATGCATGTTATCACTATTTGCACACTTGATACCCTTGTTCTGGAACACTGACTGTCTGGCTGGCTCTCTCTCTGTGTGTATTCTATCCTTATATATTGCATCTGAACACAATACATCTTTTAAGCTTCCAGAACAGGGCTGTCAAACTCGTGTCCCATGGGCCGGATGAGTCACATGCTGGCCAAGCCCATGCCCGGTTTAGTGAAAGGGAAAAAAGTTGTGATATGTCACATGACAATGCCATGACAACACAAGTTTGACATCCCTGTTTTAGAATGTCCTCCAATGTTAGTTTTTTTAAAAAAAAAATAAAGGTACATTCTTTGGTTTTCTATTATTTTTAACCTATACAGAAAATATGTATAAACCATGGAATAAATTTTAGTGAAACAGCATGATATGCATTCTGGACTATCATTTAAACATCCTGTGATCACTCTTGGACTCAAATTTTAAAATGTTTAAAATCAGTCTCCTTATCTCAGCTATATGCAAACACCCACACATCAACCCCAGCCTGATCAAATTGAAAACATTTTTCCTATGTAAAAGGAAAAAATAATTGCTCTGTGCTAGGTATGTGCAGTAGGAGTCAATATTAAAAAAATAAAGACTTCAATTATGCCATAATTTTCACTTTTTTGACACCTCCAACCAGCCTTCTTGCATTGCATTCTGATTTGTAGCCATTGTCATTGCTTTCTGGAGAACACATGTTACAAGTACAGTGTGCTATGGGTAACACTCACCGCTCGGCCTGAATCAGCAAAATCTATGCCTAGAGTAGACATGGCCCTGATGATTGATAAGATGGATTGAAGTATGTTGCTATATATGATTGCTTTGAACTCCAGACATTCTTCTTCTGTGTAGCCATCTTGATGGATAATTCTGTAGCACAAAGAGATAGAAAAATCCAGGTCCTGAATATGAAATGCTACCATAGATTTTATTCCAAGGCTTTAGTACTAGTTTGTTCTTTGATTTTACTCTCTATCTGCCAAGGAGTCTGTGCATTTCAACAAGGACAATTCTGAGTATTGTTACTCATTCACTAAGTGAAATGTTAACATCTGATGGAGCCTATTGTATCTGATCTCAACTATTCCTCCTTAACATTCTCAACATCATAGCTTCCATTATCAACTCCTCTCTCTCTCTTTTCTCCCCACTTCTGCTTTTTATAGCAATTCACCTAGCAGGGAATTTGAATACTTAACTTTGTTCCAAGCTATGAGTACCACTGTTAGTTTGGGTAATCCAAACATCAGCTTGGCACATCAGTTTTCTGCTGTAGAAGGTTCAGCAGAACTTCTGAGTTCTTGCATGAATGGGAACATACTACTTGTCTGCAACAGGTAAGAGCAGAACCACTTTCCCCCAAGAAAGTGTTATTGATAAGGCCATGTTCTTGCCCCTATGCATTCTGAAGCACTTTTTGGAATTTAAATGCCAAGTGCTGCACCACCATAATTTTGATACTCAGTTGATGAGTCTTGTAGCAATAATTAATGCTTGCTGTGGATAATTGTGCACTGCACTCCCTCTTCAGCGCAGCTTGCACTTGCCTAGAATCACTCTAGTCTTAAACTTAATTTAGTTCCTACAACATTCATTTAAAAAGACCAAGTAAAAACCATGCTAAAGGAAGAGCTGCCCAAATGCACATGACCTTAAATGTTCATTTCCATCAACTAGCCTAAAAAAGGACATCCAAACATGGAGTTTTTTAAAACCATATATGCAGGCAAGCAATAATTGATGGCTCAATGGTTGCGCTGTTATATGAAAAGGTATTTCCTCTTGATCCTGCTCAGAATCAATTTATGAAGCAAGCAGTTGCCACTTGCTGTCCTCAGTTGGTTTAACCACATGCTATTTTTATGTGTCCTAAGCCTTCCATAATCAGTTTAAGTTATCTGCCTCAGCCCAGTCCTGCTGCCAACAACCTGAAAAGTATCTATAAATGTGAACCAATGTGGAACAACATCGAATTAAGAATGATACAGCTAACTTTTGAGCTCCTGATCGCTGATCATGAAGGGGATACTCACTTCATCTGTTTGACAATTGTACTCTTCCCTGACTCGCCAGCACCTGGAATGAAAAACAGCTTAAGGTCAGAATGGCTTTGCAGACAAACAGAGGATACTCTGAGTTAACTATGTATTGCTTTTCTACTATAGTTATTGTGAGATCACCACTGGAAATATATTCAAGTACTATATTGATGAATTTGTTCCTATAGATCAGTCATTCTATTAGGGCATGGTTGGTTAGTTGGTTTGCTAATCAACCATAATGTCCTTGTTCATTCACAAGTCTTGGTAAATCTGACTGAGTGGTCTCATTCAGGTAGTCTCATTTGCAACTATATTATAATGGCTTTGCTTTTTCAAGAATACTTTTCAACTTCCCAGTCTTCCCAGAAGTTTGGAGATTTTCTTGTGGTCTCTCATTCAAGTTCTAAATATGCTTCAACACTCCTAGCATCCACCCACAGACAACAGGCATTATAACCAGACCGTACACCATGATTTGCAAGACTGGCTAGATTCATGCCTTGCACCAAAGCAAAAGTAAAATTGAATCATAGGATAGCTTAGTGCAACATGAAAAATGAGCCATTATAACTGGCCTACTACCATAAAGACAATGTCATGGGGAACATAGATGTTTTTCTGTGAAGGAAGATCAATGATCGGTGATCTCAGAAGGTTCTTCTCTGATGTTCATGCTTATATGTTAAATCTTATTACCAGAGAGCAATGGTAGTCCTTGACTTTCATCCATTTGTTTAACTACTGTTCAAATATACAATGACACTGGAGATAAAAAGTGAATCACAACCAGTCACAGCATTCACATGTCAAAATGTGAATGCTTGGCAATCAATTCTGGTTTTGGTCTCCATTGTGATTGTAAGTCAAGGATTAGTTTTATAGTGCTTGACCCAACAAAAAAAGATGACATGTGAAACAGTGACAGCTCAAATATATCATATCTATGAAATGAACTACAGTTGGCTAACCTTCTGCAATATACTGTTAACATAAACCAGAATGTTTCACGCAACATGTTTAACCTTAAACCATAATATGTATTAATATAGTCTGTGGATCCTGGCTTAATACATTCTACTAGGCCATAATATGATTTGTTTGTTCTTGATTGAATGTAAATTCTGCCATGGCTCTTGTACAGCAATTTGTTAAAACAAACCATCACTTAGTAGGATGTATCCCCCAAGCTTAAAAAACCTTACTGGTCTAAATGGTAAATAAAAGGAATTAAAGGGCAGGCTCCTTTAATTCCCGAGGCTATGGAAAGAGCAGCCTTCATTTTCCCATTCCCATACATGAAATGCCTCTCTTTCTTGGGCCAAATATTTTTAAAGCTGCTCTTTGTTAGGCAAGGCCCAGTCTGAACAAATAATAGATAGATATTAAATATGCATTAGTTATTTCTATGCCATCCAGAGTTATGTCAATGCTGAAGCTAGTAGTGCATGCTAAAGATACAGTGAAGGCACTGTAGAAATATTTTTCTCTGGGAGGACCCCCAGATCCACCCAAGCATGGCTGATGTGTTCTCTGTAAATTTGTGATGACCTTATGGAAGCCATGAGCCAAGTCATACCTCTATGTTTACAAGCCTAGAGATAGCAGAGAGCATTCATGGCCCAATGCTTGAGCACAGAGAAGTGTCTGCCAGTCAGCATTCAGTTGCTCTTTTCCAAGATGAGCAAGAACCAAGCATCTTATTATGCCTGCAAAGGTTTCCCCTGATTTATGATCTCTCTTCACAGAAGAGAATGGCTAGTAACACACACAGGTCCTCCATTATTATTCCACATTTATTTCTGGCCATTTATTCCTTGTTTTGCCAAAAATCCCAAAGTGTAAAAAGGCCAACTGTAGAAAATGGAAAACAAAGCAATGGAAGCCCTCAAAAGCTTCCCAGATACCCAAAATGAGAACTTCACTGTACAATAAGCCTGTGACCAAGACTTGAAATGAGGCTATGGCAGCATTGTGCCTTTGGGAACCTTTTCCAACAACTATGATGATGCTAGCATATGGTTATGTCCAGAGGATTGGATGGTAAATATGAGGAGAGATAAGCTGCCCTGAAATCTCTAGGAATAAGGTGATGAATCTTCTTACAGAGGTTGGTTACAACTGCCTTATTGTAAACAACTGTAAGATGTGTGAACTATAACTCCTAGAATTCCTCATCAGCACTGGGTGGGGCATTTTGGGAATTGTAGTCCAGACATCTTAAAGTTGTTAAGTTTGAAAAACATTTTTAGAAGGGGTCTTCTGGAATGGAATATTTTAAAATGTGCTTACAAAAGATGAAGGATTATACTTTAACAGTATGAAATACCAGAAAGGAAAATCAAAATGGTTGTGGGAGTTACTGTGACACATAGTCCTTTAGAAAAAAAACACAGTCACAGTAATTATTAAGGAGGAAATTACCATGGAAATCAAATCAGATGTGGGACAGCTCACTGTGAGCAGCTTCCTTATGCAACCTCATTGCCTTTCCTCTGTAACTCTTTGTGGTAAAATTTGGAAGTGCTTTTTCAGTCTTCCCAGATGTGGGCATAAGCTGGAATTAAGAGGGAATTCAGGCCAGTTCAGCCTTCTGATATTGGGACTGGTTTGTGTGGAAGCTAGCATGAATATGATTGGAATATAAACATCCAAAAGTCTTTTTTAAAATCATGTACCTGAAGTGCTCAGGTAGCTTGATAATATATAGATCAAATCTGATAGTGTTTTCCACAGCTTTTCAAATGATTTCTAGTGCTACCTTCATTTGTAACAATGAATTATTCACATAGCTTGCAAGCAAGAATCTTTACTGCAATGTAAAAAAAAAATTTCTATGAAATATGAAATGTAGCTGGCTAGATGAAACATTTGCATATATCTATCTCCAGAAAAATAATCTAGAAGGCTACCCAGTGATGATAGAGTTTTCTATACTAATTTTTTCATTATATGGAAATATTTGTCTTTTGGTGACCAAGACATACAAGAATAAATAAGATTTTTAGGCTTCAACCTGATACACACTTGGTTTGTATAAATAATACCAAACTTAAATGAATTTTATTTCCACATTGACATACAGTATATAGGATTGCACTGTAAATGTTTTTCTCTCTGTCTTTGACTATACCTACAACTACAGTTCCAGTTTTAGTGAGGACTAATAGTCCTAAACTGAGAGAATGTTGTTTTGGGTTGGATTATTAAACATTTTATCAAGTTACTAGAATTTAATCATATGCACACAGCTAGATATTCAGAAATGTATTTACTTAAAATACAGTGACTCCTCGCTGCAAGACTAATTCATTAAGCTATTTTCGCAAGCGCTGGCTCATATTTTTACTCCAAATCATTAGATATTTGCTTTTCAGAAGCACCATCTTAGAATGTGTCTTCCTAAAAACACATTCCTTTTCTTAACAAAAAGTTTCTTCTGTTGCTCTTCGCTAATTTAAGCAACCATTGTACCATTTCTTGATCTCATCACATTAAGCTGCTTGTTTAGTTCAAACCAGGAAACTGCTTAGAATTAGAGCTTAAGCACTGTAATGCCAGTTTCCCTGCTGTTACTGTGATGAATCCGTGTTGCCAGGAGGCACATAAGAACTGATTACTTCTGCTCGCCTCCACAAGCGGCAGTGCCGATCTATGTGACTTCTATTGCATGAACTGTAGTACACTTGTTCCTGCAGCAATGTTATCTCACGAAGCCATGCAGCAGAAGCCAAAATGTAATATTTTTCATTCTACATACAGGAGGACACCTCATCCAATCCCCACCTCATCATTACTGTGGTTTCCAATTCAAATTTTAGGGTGGGCTGAGCTAAACACAACAATAGCAACAGAGTAGGCCAGACCTGCCTTCATTGTGACCTCCAAATTTCCAGAAATTAAGCAGAGCACAGATTTTTACCCCAGTCATGGCGACATCTCTGTTCATCCATTCCCAGCTAGTACTATAGCCTTCCTCAAACCGGTGCCCTCCAGGTATGTTGAATTAGAAATTAAATTGCAACCAGCTGCTGAGCAAGGTGACTAGAGACAATGAGGAGTACAGTTCAATGCATAAAGAAAATATTAGGTTGGGCAAGACTCTCTTCCCTCTTACGAAGTAACCCTTTCCTTGATCTAATCATAAAAAAATATCTCTTGCTGCTCACATTTGTTTCTCAGTTGCTGCTAATGTGGATGTTAAACCGCTAAAAACTCACACAACTGATTGGAAGACACATCTTAGCCAACAGTTTCCATGTCTTAAATATCTTTTGTACCTACATTTTAAATAAATTAATTTACTGGCAGTTTTCTTTTAACAAATTCGCTTTCTAGATGCATTTATGAAACCTGACCTCTTGATTATGAGCTGCAACTGCATAACATCTGACTGGATTCATATATGTGGCAATCAAGTACTCAGAAATATATGTATCAAAGTATACTGCATATTAAAGCTAATACTCCGTTTCCATAAAGAAGTCAATTTGGAAGCAGAAAAATGTGGCTTGAGATAAGAAAGTAGTCTCTGGCATCATATTTAAAAAATGAAAGTTGGGGTTGGGTCCAGATTTCATAATATTCAGAAAAATCCTGAAGTTGCCACTACTAATTTGAACTCTCACCAACTATAATGAATAACAGTACTCTAAGCATTTGAATCCACTTTTTTATATTTTCCCAGAGAAATGGTAATGGCACATTATCATGAACTTTTGTGTTTTAACTCATCAATTAATGAATTAAAGGGAATGCAAAAAAGAATAAGACATGCACAAAAAATAATAAGCCTAAATGGTTTATGAACAAAAGAAAACAGAATCCTCTGTATCCCAGATGTTTTGTTCCAGACATAGATAAAAATTCAATTACTTTGGTGAAAATAATTGTTTGCATTTCATTGTGGTTTAGTTATCATTCAGAGTTGTCTCTTCTCTTTTAACTGGGGAGTTATTTTTGAATTCTCCTGTCCCTGGGTCAGTAAATAAGAGAGACTTGTTGCTACTGACTTATATAGGCAGCACTCGACTTATCAATGTAATGGAACCTTCCCATCATGGTCATAAGTTGTGATGGTTGTAAAACCAGTTAGTCATGTGACTGGCATGATTCCCCCCCTTGGTGATGGTTAAGCTGCCATAACAATTATAAAGCAGCTGCCATTGTTGTTAAATGAAGTGCTGCGGTCGTTAAATGAACCAATGGCTTTGCCTAAATCAGAAGTAAATGCTGGCTTTCAGCAACACCGTTCTTAAATGCAGTCACATGACTGTGGGATGGTGCAAAAAACTGTAACATGCCCTGGTTGCTGAGCACCCAAAGTTTGGTCAGGTGTCCATGGATGGGAGCCCAACCATTGGCATTTTGAATCCAGGTCCTAAATAGCCTCAAGGTCTGTCGTAACTTTGAACTGGTCAACAAGTATAGCTGACCTATACTTGTTAGGGAAAGACATGATCTGAATTTAGAGTGAAAGATCCCATTGGACAGATAGAACAATCCTAGATCTAACTGGCCATGAGTGGAGACCAAACTACAGAGGAAGAAATCGGAATCAGTCCTGTACTGATTGCTTCTGTTGCAGTAGTGGTAAGTAATTATATGTAATAGTATCTTGCTCTGCAGCCCCAATCTCATTTTAGTTTATTATTACTTTTACTAAAAGTTTTGATTCAGTATAGTTGGGTGGATGGTAAGTTGTCTTAGATAAAAAAGGGAAGGGAATACCACTCTTCCATCCATTCCATTGCACTAACTTGTTATTAACTTCCTGGTGCAATGTGTCAGGTTTCCAAAAGATGCCCCAATTGACTGTTTGAAGTTACAATGGTGCTAAAAATAAACTTTTGTGATCAATCTTCACATTTACAGTGTTCCATAATCACATGATTGCCATTTGTGTAAATCACAACTGTCTTGTCTTGTGACAAGCAGAATGAATACAAAAGGCTTTTTTTTTTTTTGCTTAGCATCTGCAGCTTAGCCACCAAAGGGGAAGTGAGATTATAAACCCTTTGTGGTCATGTGATTTTCCACTTAGGACAGTGGCTCTTAGTGACCAAGTTGCTCGTCCCAATTATGGTTGCTAAGTGAGGACTACCTGGTACTTTAAAATCAAATCTTTTTTTAAAAAAATATTCAAGTATATTTCTGTTTCTAGCTCCATTATTGTGGAAGCCAATCCTTCCAGTTAGCTCTCTCTCTCTGTATGCAGATGTGTGTCCCCTGATTTTCCCAAGGTTCAGGAGTAATATAGAGTAAGGAAGCTATCCTTACTGGAATTTGAGTCTATAGCACACAATGAGAGTGGCGCTTCCCACGCACCTCCTCCACTGAAGCAAGCACACCTGGGTAGTGTGGTAGAGGAGAATTTGAAACTGTCTTCAGCTATTGCAAGGCACAAGTCAGCAGAGCGAAGAGCACCAAGCATTCTTCAGCTTTAAGCACCTGTTTAGGTATCATCTAGGCGTCCTTTCCATTCTCAGCAGCATTATAATCCAGGGTTGCTGACCAGCAAAATCTTGCACATTGGTTGAAGCAGCCATCAGGTGGAAAGGATAGTCCAAAGACAGTATGTATTATAACCATTCAGGATGATAGAGGATAATGGATTCTGGTGCTTCTTCTTCTGGTTACTCCTGGCTACCATATCCATTTCTCAGCAGATATAATTAGAGCACTGATAATACAGGAAGTAAAATCCAACATGTTGTAAACTGCCCAGAATAGCTTGTAATCAGAGTTGTAGCTGCAGTTGTTATTCTCTCACTTCATCTCTGACATATGTTCCAGTCAAGTTGAGTGAACATTTGTTAACCAATTTCATTGTATTTAAGTATGATGACAATAAAGATTATACTTACATGTCTTTTATTGTGCACTAGTAGAGATGGGTGATATTTGAGGGTATGTCTGCTGTTAGGGCCATAGCGCTTCCAATGATGTTATAGTATGCTGGTTATGGCTCACAGGACAAATGAGATGAGCACAGCCAAGAAGACACAATTAAAAGTTAGTTACCTGGGCAGCCAAATCTTAAAATGTGGTGAAGATTATTGAGAAGATAGTCACCCTGCTGCTGATGACAAAACAGATAACATTTCAATCAGGTTCCAGATTTGGATTTAGTACCGAGACAGCTTTGTTGATGAACAGTGGCATAACTGGGATGTGATGCATCTATCTTTGTGCTCCTTGATCTCTCGATGATTTTCAATACCATTAAACAGAGTATCCTTTTAAGCTGGTTCTATAGTTAGGGGCACTGTTTTACAGTGATTCTCTTCCTTTCTCCTGGGCTGGTTGTACTTGGTGGACAGGCAAAAAACGTCCCCTAAGTCTTTCATTCGTGGGGTGCTGCATGCTTCTCTCCCCTCCTTTTCAACATTTATAGGAAACTTCTGGGTGAGGTCATCCATTGATTTAGGGATCAGTTATCATTAGTATGCTGATGACATCCAGTTAGATCTTTCACATCTGGTCCAGCTAATGAAGCTGTCGTGGCTCTGTTCCACTACCTGAAGGCTATGCAGATCTGGATCAGAAGAAACCATCTCCAACCCAATCATTCCCAGACCAAGGTACTGTGCATGTTTGGACCACCCAGATCTGGAGATATTCCAACTTTGAGCACAGAGAAGTCTGACACACTTTTGGAGTCTTCCTGGACTCATAACTCCTGCTCAGTGAGCAGGTGACAGCTATGGCCAGAAAGGCTTTTGTCCAACTTCATCTGGTGTGCCAGTTGTTTCTTTTCCAAGATCAGTGGGTCTTTCAGACAGACACTTATGCTCGGGTCACTTCATAGCTTGATTACTGCAACATGCTCTAGTCTAGCCCATTTATGAGCTTCAGCTGATCCAGAATCCAGTGATATAGGCAGTGACAGACATATCTCGGTATGCCTATGGAACACCTCTGCTTCACTGCACCAGTTACCAGTTTACTTCCATGTGCAATTCAAGGTGCAGGCTGTCACCTATAAAAGCCCGCTATGGCATAGGATACCTGGTTACCTAGGGGTCTCTTTGCCTCCCATAGTATCTATCTGGCCAGTTTGATTTAGCAGGATGGGTGCATTCTGAATTTCATCAATTAAATAAAGCCATTTGTCTGAACTCAGAAGCATGCCTTCTCTGTAGCAGCACCTGCCTTCTGGAATAATATTCCTCAAAATTCAAATGGGACTCACCCTACTGGTATTTTCAAGAGTGCTAAGGACCTGGGTTTTTCCTCAGGCATTTGGTGAGGATCTGATGCCGCTTTCTTGCTTTCCATTCCTCTCTGGCCTTTTTTTCTTTGTCTTTGTTGTTTTTCTGTCTTGTCCTGCTTTTTCTGTTTTTTTAAAAAATATTTTTTATCTTAAATATTTTCAACAATAGTAAATCACCCAGAGTTGCTAGCAGTTGGGCAGCCTATAAATTTAATACATCATTTATAATTTATAATAAATCATTTATTATTATATTTCATGTCAATGCATTTTCAATGCCCTGTGCTTGTGGATTGCTGGTAAAATTAGGGGAGGCAGGTTGTGTGTGTCTGTGTGTCTTTTAGTAAATTTTTGACTTCTAACGACTGCAGGTCCTACAGTTTTCTTGGCAAGTTTTTTTGGAAGTGGTTTTCCAGTGCCTCCTTCATAGGGCAAAAATTAAGTTTAACAATGGTTACATAGCAACTTCATCACACATTTGAGAAGAGCCAATTGTATAGGAAACTACTTCAGGTGAAGTCTTTCCTTCCTTCCTTCCTTTTACTATTATTTTTAATCATGGAAAATATTTCAGCACAAGGGAGAATTTTACTGATTCTGAAACATAAACTATATCTTTCTTACTTCGTAGCACTCCATTATCCTTCTTGGAAATACTTAATCTTTTCTAACAGCCACGGTGCCACTGAACTGTGTGAAAAGATCTGGGTGACCTCTCATTATAACCAATGGACTGCAGTTATTTGTCCCGCTGTTCTATCTTCTGCCATTGATACAAATTTGCCTCAGGAAACAGAAAATCAAAGTTTCTAAATGTTTGAATTTCTTGTTTATACCAGAATCAACCCAAACCATAGTTCTACTGTGGCCATCTAATGACAATTAAATATTTTCCCATCTGATCTGCTATTGCTGATACTGAGCAACTGGTATGTTACTGCAGAACAATTTATGGACAACATTTAGAAAATGTGCAGGAAGAGTAATTCTATACTAGTTTTCCCTTGTTGATCCCATCCAAGGTGAGGATACTAGTATCCACACACAAAAAATATGAGGTAAATGGCCTGTTACATTACACTTACCTAACAGAAGTAGCTTAACAGTCTTCGCCTCTTTATCTCCATCTTCTTGAAGCTTCTTTTCCAACTCCTTTGATCTCTTAGCAAGTTCCTTATCTTCAGCACTTGCTCCACTACCCATATCACTTTCTTCTTCTAGCTCGTTTGGCCCCTCCAATTCCTCTGTTTTTTCCAGGTCTTCAGATTCTTGGTCACCACTACTCCACAGTAATAAAGAAGGTTCTTCTTAGATGTGCCGTGAATAGAAGCGGTAGGCTGACAGATTATTGGTCCAGGACTGTTAAGAAGGTAGCATCAAGTCAAAGCATTTGTCTTGCACTGCACTTTTTCTCTCCTTCTCCCTCCCACTTCAAGGGTAACCCAGTTTTGTTACAATAGATCTGAGGACTTTTTATCTCATCACATGTCCTGCAAAATCCAATTATAAAAAGCCAAGATGTCCAAGATTAATGCGGGGGAAAAGAAGAACTTAGACTGACATGGAGGAGTTCTGTAGTATGGAATAGAGGGTTACATAATGTAAGAATTTTGTAGCAGTCCCCTTCCTCTTCATGCAAACCAGGGGCTACCTCTCAACCATAAAACTTTATTGGATACATCACTTTGGCAGTGAAGAATTACTTCTGGGATTTCAAAATGCCTGAGAGTGCCTACTTTTTTGGGGTTAACTAGTCAGATGGTTGGTAGTAAACCGGCTCTGACGTTTTCCCGCTAAATGCTACATAGTTAAATATTAGCTTTCCCTTTCTCTCTCCCATAGAGGTCATGCTGTCCAATTACGTATCAGTCTTTTGTTTTGAGAACAGTTCATTTCTTTGTCGTACACCTGCAGCAGTGACCTTGGTGGGTTCTTGGCTCACACTGTCTATTCTTGGATCGTTTGTATTCTTCCTCCACCTTCCTCCCCCCACCAGTTCATTGGCAAGTTGAATAGCGATAAATGTTCAAAGGGATCAGAAGCTTGACACTACCATTATTGACAAAAGTATTCCTGGTTTTCTTAGATAAAGGACTGTTAATGTATGTTCTGATACTTAAAGGTATCAGTTTGTGGCAAAATTATACACCAATATCCCCATGCAATCCTACAGAACTGACAGCAGTTATCCCCAGCAGGTGCTGCATGGGAATTCTGTAGGCCAAAGCATGTGTAATTGGATGCAGCTATCAACATTCTCTCTCACATAGTCAGGAAGTGTACCAGGTTCTGACAACATCTCTTACTGTCCACTAGACAGTCTCCTCCACCCCCTCTTCCTCCTCCTCAGCCTAGAATAAGGATAGCAACAGGAACATCTTCAGGGAAGGTTGCCATTAGGAGCTTTTCAACAGACTGGCTGAAGGACCCACTTTTGTCACCCTGGCGTGGGTGAAAAAAAATGACCTTATCCAAAGATTCTGAGATGAATATAGAAGTGATAGACAGCGATGTAGGGATGGGGGCTTTTGGGTTTTTGTTTGCTCTGTCTTTTGCACAGGAAGGGAATATGACCATATATCCTAGAAACATTGGACTTTGAATTGGGATGAATTTGTCTTGCATTACGTTTCCAATCGTATCAGCTGGCTGGGGTAAAGGGTGAAATTCCCCTATTCCTCAAAGGAACATATTTTCCCTGATTTCTTCCTTGCAACACTCTTCTCTATGAGAAACAAAATAATTCAAAAGATGTGTAATATGTGATTTTAATCCTTAAAGGCTGGCAAGAAGAATTGCATAGGCTTATTACGTTTCTCTCCAACCTGCCACTTAAGCTCTTTAAAGTGTTATCTTTGTTCAACAAATCCTCCCAACCAATCCTTAACATTTTGCCACAACAAATTCTTAAATGTGGGGGGAGGTACAATTCTAGAGGGATCAGTGGTTCTCTGGATCAAAGCAGAGTCTCCTAGAGGAGGCCTTCCTTAATTTCTCAGTAGGTTGTGTGAGCCATTATCCTCTGCCAGTAGGTAACATCATCAGAGTCTGATGATTTAAAAAAACCACATTTAGTACATTTATCTGATCAGTTTTCACATGACCTATCCAGTGGTGGGATTCACTTACTTCCCTACTGGTTCACAAATGTGAACGCTCGCACGCACTGCATCTGTGCATGTGCACCCCCTTCCGTGTATGCGGAGTGCTTGCACATTATATCAGGGCACATGGGCGGAGCCTCCCACAGCCGCCACTACTGGTTTGCCCAAACTGGAGAGAACTGGCTGAATACCACCTCTGGAGCTGTCATATGAAAAGGTGTTTGCCTTTTATTTACATTTTATTGGAAAAAAATAGAAACTGAGATAATGGTAACACTTAAAAATTTATGGGGATAAAAAACTACAGATATCAATAAAGGAGAATATTTATAGCTGAGAGTTGAAATGAGGGCTCATAGGACTAGCACTGATGCTGTTACATAGTTTGGTAGTGAAATGTCTAGGGGAAAAACCCAATCAAGCTCAGAAAGCACCAAGGACCGCTCAACTTCAGATATATTTCTCTTTGGTGCCCTCAGTTTGACATTATGCATTGGTACAATACATGGGGTTGCTGAAATTCCTCTTCACAAAAAATCCAGCCAAACCATGCTTTATTTTAAGTAAAAATATAAAACCAGGACTGAATTTTATGTTATTTATGAGCCAAGCATGATGGTATAAGTGTCTTTATAGTTTTGTTAAAATCGATTGTCAGTGGCTGCTCTTTAGATGCACCTGGAGATGTTAGGGACCTTGAACTTATACTGCATGAAAATCTCCCATGCCAATTGCTGGAGAAAGGTTTCCCCAAGAATTGTGGAGTCACAGGGCAGGAAAGGGTTATATTTTCTTTTCAATTTCAGATCTAGTTTAGCCTTTCCAGCTGCCACGTCATTTCCATATAAGGCATCCCTCACCTTGGCAATATTATCTCAGTAGTGGCTATTTTTCCAAAGAGTCACTTGTCTGCTATTTATCTTACAATGAATCTTACAATGAATCTGGGTTTTCAATTAGTTGTGCAGATGTCTTCGAAGGGGATCCCAGATGTCTGGTAAAGATCATCATCCTATGACAGGGGTGTTCAAACTTGGGAACTTTAAGACTTGTGGACTTCAACTGCCAGAATTCCCCAGCCAGCATGGAGTTTGGACACCCCTGTCCTATGACTTTTATCATAATGTCATCAGTCAAACGGCACAAATTATATAATTTGCATCAGTGAAATCCCATGAACAATGCACAATGTAGTATCTATATGAAGTTGCGATATACATGATATCACCTGCTCCCTTTGTTTCCCCTACATAGATGGGGTTCAGCGCCTTGCTAACACTCTGCTATCCCAGGTAACCTTTGTCTAATGAAGTCTAAGGATATGGTGACAACAGACTTGCCTGATATCAATAAAATGCTTGTTTTGTTTATTTTTATGTATTTATTTTCATCAAGCATGAATTAGATAACAGATATAAATATAGACATGATTATGAATACATGAAATAAATACAAATACAGTACAAGGGAATATTAGGACAGGGGCAGTAGACATTCTGGTGCACTTATGCATGCCTCTTAGGAATGGAGTGAGGTCGACAGTAGACAGTCTAAGGTAAAAGTTTTGGTGGTTTGGGGAAGAAACCACAGTGTCAGGTATTGACACTTCCAGGCATTAATGATTCTGTTACTGAAATCGTATTTTCTGCAAGCAAGTTTGGAGCGATTTACCATAAATTTGTATCTATTGTGAGTTTGTGTGATATGTGGTTGAAGCTGAAGTATTCATTGACAGGTAGGACATTGTAGCAGATAGTTTTATATACTACGCTTAGGTCGGATCGAAGATGGTGAACTTCTAAACTGTCTAAGCCTAAAATTTCAAGTCTGGTGGCATAAGGTATTCTTTTGTGAGCAGAGGACTCTTCTCGTGAAATATCTCCGGACTCGTTTGTTGTATTTATGTTTTTATTGTATTTATGTCACTATTAAACATTAGTTGCAGCAGTTCTAAACTTGTCCACCTCTGTGAAAACTCTGGCTCAATTTGTTGACATGCTGAACGTTTGACTGGACTGATATTTCCTTACTGCCCTACATAGGGCAGAATACATACAGCCATAGCTCCTACTTTATTCTTAACTTCTTTGTTCCATGACTAAAGAAATAATTAAGGTGCTCTCAAGGCAAGCTTGATTCCCAGTGATCATGTCAGCACATATCTGCGGTTCCTTAGGCAATAATAATACAGGACTGGTTGGTCCTAGTTTTCTTTTGAGATTCTTTTAAAACTTTCCAGCTAGCCAACATCCTTGGAATTCTCTGGTGGTCTCTGATTCAGACACTAACCAGGTCTAACTAAGCCAAATGCTACCCTCTGCTGAACCTCTCCCATAACTAAGCTTTGGTAAAATTAGTTCCAGGCAACCTTCCTAAACAATGGAAATGATCATTTTAGCTTTTCTCAAAGGACAACAAAAATAGCCAAAAGTTAGTTTCAAACCACACAGTAAGCAATAATGTGGTTTGTTTGTGTTGCTACATATGGTATGAAGTTACTGCTACATATGGTATGAAGTTACCAGTTACTGTTTATTCAATAGACTACTGATTATCATACCACGGTATTGTGCAGGGTAAACACAACCAAAGTTGGAAATTGCTGCCTCATGGCACTCAGAAAGGTCACGAAGTGAGAGCAGATAAGCCAAGAGCATCAGGGTTTTCCTGAGAAGGAAACATATTTTTTGCTTGTGAAGCACTGAGAGATAAAGGCTGAAGCTCTGCAAATGCTGGACCTCTGATTGTTGCAAGAATAAGAATTACCACACCTGCAGTTTTGCTTGACATCTTCCAAAGGAAGAATCTTCCTTTTACATGGGATAGTGGTTAGCACAGGCAGCGTTGTTCTGATCAGGAATGGATAAGAAATTTGTCCCATCCAAACTTATATATGAACACACACACACACACACACACACACACACCAGATTTGCAACTGGAATGCATGTGCACAACTTTTGTTATTCGAATTTTGAGGTGTAGGTCATAATGATGACAAATGAAGGAAGATTTTCCACCATTAACTCCGTATCAACCACATGATGAACCTTCTTCAAAATCAAGACTGAGCTCTCTGGAGAAGTTTCTAATTCTGGG